GACCTTCTTGGCACTCGTAATTTTTTCTCACTCCAGAGATCTCATCAGATTCCTTGTATGTGAGAGATAATTGTTAAGTGTTAAAACGTCCACACTAGCCAAGACTTATTCTCTGAAATTTATATTGCCATCATTTTAATATATCAACTTCCTTACTGGGAAAGCATCTGTAAGGGTAGTGCAGGAAACATTTAATTAAAATTCACTAGACTTAAATTTTATTTTGTTATAAGCAGAAAATAATTTTTAATTTTTACTGAAGTTTAATTGACATAAATATCCTGTTAGTTTCAGGTGGTTACCAGAGGGAGGAGAGTTGGGGTGGGGTGAAATAGCAGAAATAATTTGAGTTCTCTCTGCCAAGTAAGTAATCCTAAATGAAAACTTAAGTCCAGATATTAAATTTGTAAGGGTCCTGTCTCCTAAAAAAAAAGACGTATTAACTGTGAAGATCAGTAAATTAGATAAGTTTTTCATAGAAATGAACATAATCATTCTTTTATACTGTAAAACAGAGTTAAAACAAAGGATTAATTTCTTGAGAATTATTCTTTTCTAGTTTTTCTTTTTCTTTCTTTGAGTTCGCAAGTAAAGAGTATCCTGACTTCATTTTTAGTTGTTCATGTCAAGGCCTCAATACCAGAATGTTATGAAAATTATTCCATCTTATAATTGTCTTATACCTTTCCTCTTGTCTTACTATTTTGTTCCCTGCTTTAATCTTTGCTGTGGAAACTTCCAAACACCTGAAGCTAAACATTACCTTTCTAAATGGAGGAGGCTATTGGAAATTGAGATTAAGAGTTTTAAAAGAAATTTAATATGAAAAGCAAGGATTGGAGGTCTCTTATGCATGAGAAAAATATCTGTATATCAAAAGATACATTGTGATCAAATCAGGGAATATTTAGAAACGCACTAATTTTTATTTTATACTTCATCTACTTAAATACTTCATCTACTTAAATAGAAAGTAAGTTCCTAGAGGGGGCAAGAAAGCTATATCTGGTAGTAAGAGCCTGTGACAAGAATCATGAAAGAACTGAGACTTCACTGGAGCTTGAAAGAGTAATCAGGGTAGAATGAGGGCATTGCAGGCATAGGGGTGACCACAGACATAAAGATGCTGATGCACTCGAGCTGTTTGGACTAAAAAGAACTCATTTATGGATCAGACTAGAAGAAGATTGGTTATGGCTAGATTGGTAGGGGCTTTTAATAATAATAAAAACTAATAATATTAGTTATCTTTTGCCAACAATTTACCCTAAACCTTGTCAGCGTAAAACAACAAACATATATTATCTCATAGTTTCAATGGGTCAGGAATTTGGGAGCAGCCTAGCTAGGTAGTTCTGGTCTAAGTTCTCTCATCAGATTTCAGTCAGGACTTTGGTTGATGCTGCAGTCATTTGAAGGCTTTACTGGAGTTGTAGTATCTGCTTCTAATATGGCTTACATGGCTGGTGGCAGAAGACCCCAGTAACTCATCACGTGGAGTTCTCTATAGGGCCGCTAGAATATCCTTGAGACATGGCAGTTGGCTCAGAGAGAGTGATCCAAGAAAGAGAACAAAGCAGAAGTCACAAGGTCTTCTGGACCTAGCCTTGGGAGTCAAAATTCATCATTTCCACCACAATATATTTGTTAGAAACAAGTTACTAAGTATACCCACATTCTAGAAAAGAGGAATTTTTCTCCACCGAAGGGAGCTTTAACAAACAATTTGTGGACGTATTTTAATACCACCACATAGGAGTTCTAATTTTACTGTATAGTCTGTGATTACATATTATAATTATGTGTAGAGAATAAATCTAGCAGGGTGGTATCAGCAGGCAAGTGGATTGGAGCTCTAGAACCCAAATAGGAGACAAATCACCTAGGAACTTTTAATAATAATAGAATAGGCTGTCTGACCACACGTAATCAAATTGTAATTCTAGAAAGGATATTTGAATTTTTAAAGTTAAAGGGGGTGTGGTTAAACTGTCATCTGAAGTAAGAAAGGAATGGAATCCTAGGAACATAAGCTGTATCAAAATGTTAGTAGTGCATACTGAGAGGAGCTATGTTGCAAAAATGTACACTTTTAGGAATCTAATTGGCAAGACAAAAAGGCCTGAGAAATGAGGCTTAGACATAAAAATGATCATGAAAAAGATTTTGAACAAGGCTCTGTATTTTCTAGCCTTGGGAATTAGCCACCTATAATCTCAGTAACAGTAGTAATGGTTTGGTAATGGTAATACCTATGGTAGTGAATGGAAGAATGGTTGAGCTTTGTGTATATGTGAAGTTACCATATTTAGTAGTCATGATGGTTTTAATCAGCATACCATACCTATTCGTTTTTGTCCTCAGCCTGCTTTCCTGAGATTGTATAGTAAAACATTTAGCCTAGTTTCTGTTTCAGGATTGATTTTTGCAAGGGTAGTAATAGAGCAGAGAATAAGTATAATGGGTCTCTGGGGGATGACTACTTGCTAGGACTGAGAGAGCTAAAATGATAGGATTTGAGTGTTTTGTGGTTCTGTTTTGTTTTTGGAGGGGGACTGTTTTATTTTTACTATTGTTATCTTTTGTTTTTATTTGGACAACCCAGTAGAAGACCAAGTATATGAACTTGCAGAGATGGAATCTTACAGTAAATAGTAGAACAATACCAAGTGTCAGGCAAGGATATGAAGCACTAATTTATGAGAAATTTGTTAATATTTCATAAAGCTGAAGATGTGTATTCCTTCTCACCCAGTAATTTCACTTCTAGGTATAAAAACTGTCTTACAGAGTTAGTTGACCATGTCTTACATCAGGTACACAGTAGTTGCAAGAAAAAATACTTACTTGCCTTACCACATGTGAAACCTTTTATTATTTCCAATCTTAAATGCTTTGTTTTTGTTGCCACTCACTAAATTTATTTCATAATGTGCTGATAGGTAGCAGTGCACTGTTTGAAAAACATTGCCCTAGGAAAACTCTCTCACATGTGCACAAGGAGACATGTACAGGAATGTTCATGGCATTCATTGTTAATAAAAGCAAAAACTTGGAAACAACCTAAATGTCTGCCAGTGAGAGAATGTACAAATAATTTGTAATATAACTATAGAAGGGAACAGTGAACATGAGTTGGAGCTATATGAATTAGTATGTATAAATTGCAAAATATAGTTTGTGGATAAAGCAAGGTGGAGAAGATACGTACAGGATATTATTTATGTAAACTTTAAAATATGTAAAACAATACATATTTAACAAAGTTAAAGCATAAAGATACAGGTGGGAATGATAGTTATTGAATCAGGGATAGTCATTTACTTTGGGGGAGGGAATTCCAACAGAGGTATACAGAAAGTTTTAATTATAATATTTTATTTGTTAATTGAGCACTGGATACACAGATATTCATTATATTGTCCTCTATAACTTTGTCTGAAATTTTTTATATTTAGCAAAAAGAAAATATCCCTGAACCATTCATGTTCAAATATTATAAAGGTCTAAGAACATCCTTTCACAGCTCTAGTAAAGCTACTTTTATACTCTATTGCCTGTAAATATCTAGATTGATGATGCTTAATTAGTGAACATAATAGTAGCACAGCAGGTAAATAGGAGAGCCAGGGTTTGAACTCAGGATGTCTTGCTCTAGAGCCTGTACTATTAGCCTCTATGCTATAGAATCTCTCCATGAGGAAAAAATATTAACAAAAAAGATAGGAAAGCTAAAGATTGTGATTGGAAGTATGGCTTTGAAAGAGAAAGTTTCTCACATTTTTTTTTAATTAATTTATTTTCGGATGTACATCATATTTCGAATTCTGTGCACATTACATCTTGTTCACCACCCGAAAACTAATTATAGTCCATTTTTATTCTTAAGTAGTGACATGGTCTTAGAAGGAGCTGAGATTAATTAGAGCAGAGAATGAAATATTAGAATACTAGCACCCATTTTGTCACAAAAGTGCAAGTAAGAAAATTCCTTAATTAACATTAAGATTTCAGCTAAATTCTTACCAGATTAATTAATTAATTGACAGGTGATTGCCATGTGTAAATTGGAGAATTAAAAATTATATAAAATTTTAACTTATTCATGTATGGTAAATCAGAAACCTTGAAGATTAAGCTACAAAAGAAAGGGTTCACCTTATTATATTTAATATAATTTGTTAGGGTTTTTTTTAGCTAGAGCTAATAACCTGTTGAAAGATAAGGTAAAAATATTAACATTGTATTTGTTCCTGCCTCACAGATTTTAGAGTAGGAAAATCATTTCAGGAGGGTTGTATTGGATGCTTATGGTGAGGTGAAAAGGTTATCTTGGCATGGAAACCTGACTATTGGGGTTGGTTCTGCCACCACTTTGCAGTGTAGTCACCAAGATTGTTCCCATTGTGACTAAATGAATTATTCTTCTTCCCTGTGCAATTACTTCAAGATTTTGGATTTTGTAAACTGTCATACATTTTCAAATGATATTGGCTTTTCCAGTTTTGCCTCATAGATACTGACTTGTGTCTTGGTTATAAAAATTTTTTAATTCATTAGATGTATGCCAGCTTAGAAAGATTTACAGTTATTTAGAGAAACAATTTTTTGAGTTCTACATTATGGTATATTTGGTTGTTGGTACTCTGGTTTCCTCAGAAGATTTAACATGTTTGTTGACTCCATAATAGATGTGACACTTTCAGAAAGCTCCAAATGCCGTTTACTGGTCTTAATGAAAATAGAGCAATTGAGTCAAAATAAGATCATTTCCAGAAAGGTTTTTTTTTAAGCTTAGTATTATTAGTTTTTATTTTACAGAAGCCATATAAAAAACAGAAGATAGTCAAGTTGGAGGCCTTTGAGAGTGCAGATACAAATACAGTATTAGGAATGATATCAATATTTATTGCTTGCTGAAAATGAGTATAAAGTACATTCTAGCTTTGGATATTAATCAGAGGTTTGTCGCTCTCTCGTTTTTTTTCTTCCTCCTCTAGTGATGCTATTGCTGAGATTAGAGCCATTTGTATTGAAGAAATTGGAGTATGGATGAAAATGTATAGTGATGCCTTCCTAAATGACAGTTACCTAAAATATGTTGGCTGGACTCTTCATGACAGGGTAAGTTACTCTGTTCCAGGCTTTGATAGAAAATATGCTTGTCTCAATACTAGAATGCCAGGAATTAAGGTGGCAATAGTTGATTTTTAAAGAGTTGTAATATGAAAATTTAAGATGATACAGCTAAATAACTGTTCACTTAATGGCCATGATGAAACTTGAGACATTGGCCCATGTGTGAAAACCCCGTCTTACTTAGTTGTAATGCTGTCTTAAACCAAGATTGGCAACCTGGTACATCTAAAGTTTTAAGAGAATATAGTATCCCCAAAAGCTAATTATAATCTTTTTGTAGTTTGGAATCAAAAGAGATTCCTGTTTCTCTTAATATATAAAAATTAAATAAGCTTTCTTGTTTTGAACTCTCTAGGGTCATATCATAGTACAGTGTTTTATCAGAATTGGAAAGATTTGTTGGATTCTGGAATATTTGATCTAAAAATCTATTTCTACTTCTACCCACTTAGAAAAGGCTCTGACTTTAAAAGGAATCCCACATTACTGAGTCCCGAATAAGTAATCCTCAAAATAACCAAGGGTGGGAATGATAAATTACTGAAACTTTTATATTGAGTGGCCTGACTTTCTTTAAGTTGATTGCCAGATGTTCACAAATATAGAAATAAGGCAAATTTGCTAATATTCTCAGACTTATTTTCTATATTTTACCATTATCGGCCTTTAGAGTATTTACTTTTTTAAATAGCACTATGCTGAGTATTATCAAAGATATTTTGAAAACCACAAAATTACATAAATTATAATAAAATGTCCCAAGGGAATTTTACAGGCCATTTTTGCTGTAAGAGAGAGTTCAGAGTGTAGGAAGACCATCACAAGTTGGTTGCTCAACTTCACTATTACTAATTTTTAGTTGATGATTAAAAGGAGCTCTTTCTCCTCCACTTCATTTGAAGGAACATCCAATTAGTACATAGTGAATTTTTGTTTTTAATATTTATCTTCCCTAACAATTAAAATCCTTTTCCTTTTCTCCACATTAATAAATCCCAAGCTTGTTTCTTTTTGAGTCTAATCCTCATGTGAAATTGGGGACCTTCACATCTAAGCCTCATCTCAGGCTTATCCAATTAAATTTTACTACAGTGTGAGAGAATATAGAATTATACAATGAGCCCTCATGCATGCATAAACACACTGCTAAATCCAACAGGACAAACTTTTTAGTAGGAATAAATTTAAAGTCCTGCATTTTTATTCCCCATACTACCACACCAGTTTTTTTTCTCCCCCTACATTCCCAACAGAATATTCTACTGATTTTAAATAGCAATAACTAGTTTTAACAGAAGTTTTATATCATCACAGATTCTGAGAAAAATACCTATTTCATGTGGCTTACCAAAAGATAAACAACCATCATTTTAAAATAAATCATTAAAGTGTGTGTGTTTGTAGAAATCCTGTGTCCAGATAAAGGGAATAGCAGATTTCTCTTGTACATTGTTGGTAAAATCATACAAGGAGTACTGTTTTCAGTAGAATAATTTTGTAAACCTCTCTACAATCTCCAATTACTTTATTTAGAAAAGAATGTAAATATTAAATAATACCTTCTAAACTTTCCTTTTTGTCACTCCCACTCTAATCTCCTTGTACTTTTTTCTCTGAGGACTGTAGTCATATGCTTTTTCTCATTTTAGTCATCTGGTTGAAACTGCTCATTCTATGGGCCGTGGCCTCTGCCTTCAGATTCATCCTGTACCTTTTCAAATGAGCTGATAAAATTCCTGTGTTTTTTTTTTTTTAAGATTACATTTTCATTATCAATTGCATTTTTCTTCCAGTTTCATTGAGATATAATTCACATATAACATTGTATTAGTTTGAGGTGTACAATTTTATGATTTGATATGCCTTCTGTCTTGATTTTAGAATTTTAGAGGTTATAACCTAGTCTACCGTCCTAAAGAAGACAAACTTATTTTTATAATACTGCCAATTTATATATGTTTTATTTTATTGTGGTCAGTTGAAGATTAGTTCTGTCATTGAGGGTGACACAGAATAGGTCTGATTTAGATAGAGCTAAGGTAATTCCTGTGTTCTGAGCTAAATATTTTAATCTCTTTTTGTATTTATGCTCATGACATTAGATTGCCTTTCTCTGTCTTTTCCAGTTTGTCAGTATTGCTCTATACTGTTTTTGCTTTTAGCTTATGTGTACAATTATTCATCTACTTTCTTGCATACAGTTGATTCCTCATATCACAATCTCTGTAGTGCTTGGGTGGGATCTGTTTTCGGTTAGTCCACCTCATGTCCCCTTCTTTGTGTTGACTCATCTTATATCTGTTTCTCTTAAGTTGAGCAAAAACCGTTTTAGCTCTGTATATGTCAAGCAAATGATGTCTCTTGCTTATGACCAGAAGTAGAAATTTGAACATTTTTGCCCACTGCATCTCAATATCAGAGTTGCCAAAGAAAACACAACACAGTCAAGCACTAGATGGAACAATGCTTTACTCACAGAGAGAAGGGACAGAGCAAGATCAGCTTCAGTAGTAGATGTGGGTCCCCCATGACCAGAAGGTCCCTCCCAGCAGTCAACAGAGGCAGTTGCCCTACATGCACCCTTCTGATGCCACAGAACTAATGACTCTGTACCCTCCCCTCAGGGAACAGATTTTGTAGTGGAGTTGGCCAGGTGATGACGCACATGCTTAAGCAGAACAAAAGAACACACATTAAGTCTGAAATAGAAAAGATATTCCCACACAAAGCAATAAATTCAGCATAGGCTGTGAGGGCACTTATCTCTTGATATGGAGGTGTTCCAAGCCCAAGGCCCATTCTTATGCACCCAAGTTGGGGGTCAAAAGAGTGCCTTTCTGGGCCAGCCCCAGTGATCTAGTAGTTAACTTTGGAGTGCTCCACTTCAGCAGCCGGGGTTCAGTTCCCAAGCACAGACCTACACCACTCATCTGTTGGTGGCCATGCTGTGGTGGCAGCTCACATTTGAAAAACAAAATAGAGGAAGATTGGCAGCGAATGTTGGTTCAGGGCGAATCTTCCTCAGCAAAAAGAGGAAGATTGACAACTGATATTAGCTCAGGGCAAATCTTCCTCAGCAGAAAAATAGAAAAAAGAAAAAAAAAGGCTACCTTTACTAACAGTCTGCCCTCAAACCCTTCTCAGCCAATGAAGTGGCAGATAAAACATTTAAAATCCTGTAGGACCATCACCCACCCCAAACTTGGAGGTGGAACTGGGTCCAGCAGGGTTCCTGAACAACCTCTGTGTATGTGTATTGCTCATAGAGCCTCCTTGTTGTTTGGAGACAACACTTTACCAAGGTCATTGGAAGAGGCAGACCCAGGAGGACAATCAGGCCTCCCTGGAGGATGGTCTTCAACCAGGAACCCCAAGTATCTGGATTAAGCCAACTAAAGAGGTCAAAAAGTGAACCTGGGAGGACTGTGAATGTAAGCTGATAACCATCCCACCTAAGCATGGATATTCACCAGCTCAGTTTTTAAATTCCCTAAATTGTTGATACATACACAGCAAGAAATGCTGGCAGTAACACAAACGCCACCCTTTCTGCCAGCAGATAATCAAGGGCTATTTGGTTATCTATTACCACCTTGACTAGTGAATTTAGTGAGTCTTGTTGCTTTTGGATGGCTTGGGCAGTAGCATTAGCTATTTCTGCCATGGTTAGAGACAGATTGTATACCATTTTTTTCTAGGGCCTATATACCTATGCCTGGTATTAGAATTTGGACCGCAGAATGAAACCAGTAGTTAGTTTTTCTCCCAGGAGGATACTCTGAGCCATTCTGTGATATGTTAGCAAAGTGGGTCCTTTCCAGCCCTCTGTGTGGTTGCTGACATGAACAGTGAGCCCTAGAACTCTGAGGCAACAAAATTCTTCCCCTGGAGGCAGATGTTCTGTGGCACGTTGGGGTCTACAGAGAAATATGTAAGCCAGAGGGTTGCAGGTGACACTTGTCAGGGTTTTGTTCTCACAATGCTGACTAGTTCAGTTATATTTAGTGTCAGCCTGCTTTGCCGTGTGGTTGCAGAGAGAGAAAAGTTATATGTGGGATGTCAAAATCTGAAATGTCAATATAGATCAGTAGTAACCATTCTTATATGGGGGTCTTTTTCTGTCACATTGTAGGTAATATTAAAGCAGGAGACTCCAGAGCATGCCTGCATCTGGACCTATATGGAAGGAGTCACTTGGTGATTTGATCCATTGATAGCTTGAGGAAAGTCTGAGTAGTTGTGTATCAGCCAGACCATTACAATGGGAGTGTGGGACAAGAGGAACTTCATTCTGGGATGACAAATCCAGCATTGTTTGTTTGCCTCCTCTTACTATGGCTGTACTGATTTTTATCAGGGTGGTATTGTACCAGGCACAGCAGAAGATTTTGTAGGAATGAGAAGAGGAAGGATTAATGTTCCTAACCCTGTCCCACTCCATGAACCTCCTGAGGCGAGAGAGGCTCTGGTCTCCTACTTGGGGTGCTGGCTGCCCAGGTATTGCAACCCAGACTGCCTGTCCCCATGCTGATGCTGCTACCTTTGTGGGCACCCAGTGCCCTTGTTGCTTGACCTAGACATTTTGGCCTTAGTTAGCCAGTCCAGGAAAGCAGGTCACATCCTGCACGAACTCAGCATATCTAATAATGTCACCCACCTGATTGGAAAGATCAGATGTTCCTTGGTACTCCTTGATTTCATCTCCCACCCTTGTGGTATCCCATAGGAGGGAGGTTCCCAGGGGAAGCATCACATCCAGAGTAGAGTCAGGGGGCCCTGTCCAGGGTTCTGTGGCAGCCGGAACCATAAACCACCCCAGAGATGTGTACTCCAAGGGGCAAAAAGAAAAAGAATGATTGGTATCCTGAGATTGGGATTTTGCAGGCACAGCCTAAACACATGACTGCCTAGTCCACTCCCATTCAAGCTTGATATTTCTGAACATGCACTGCAATGCTCTTTCCCTTGCACTGGAGTGCAGTGTT